AGATAGATAGATAGATAGATAGATAGATAGATAGATAGATAGATAGATAGAGACATCTTAAAGTAACATATACAAATGTCAGTCATGATCATTGTATCATTATTAACTGGAGAAAATAAAGTGCTGAGTGTGGGAAAATTGATTTTCAGATTTGTAGGTTCCTGGATGGATGACTCGCCATTCCACCAACACCCATCATATCCCTCTGAGCCTTAGCTCACGTTATTCCCTCTACCTACCATGCCTTCTTCCCATTCCCATTTCTGCCTTTTAATACTTTACGCACAATTTAAGTCCAGCTTACAAAGCATTGTGTGTCTATCTAAATACTGGTTTTATCATCCCCTGCTAGATTCTAAACTATTTGAGGGCAGGAACTGTATCTAATTTATCCTTGTCCCTATTGCTTAGCAAGGTGAATTTGCTATGAGCTTCATAAATATTTGTGGAATGAATGGAGGAATGAAATTTTCCCACCTGAAATATACTTTAGCAATGTGAGTGGAGAATTATCAATGTAGGACTGAAGAGAAAGACTTTTATAGGCTTAGCGTAAATAACCAGCCACCAATATACAGGGTGTCCCAAAAGTCTTAGTGCGAAAAGAGCTTGAAGAAAAGTTTTGGGATGCTTGTGTAAATTAGTTAGTCTTCATCACACTCTGTGATGTAAAGAGCATTAGTGTAAGCTAGAGTTAGGCAGTGAAATCAGGAATAAAATCTTGGAGACAAACCTTTAGAATGCATCTTTCAAAAAACCTTCATTCTTCCAGTGACTTTCCTGAGGGGTCCCTTTCATTGTAATTTAAAGTAGGATTTAAAATTATCATTGACAGACACACATGTATATGTGTATGTGTGTATATATATGTATGTGTGCATTATATATAATTTATATGCACACATATATAAATATTCATATATATGCAATATACACATGCATATATATGACATATATGTATATATTGTGTGAAATGTGTATACAATGTATATTATTTATATGCATATATAGACACATACTTGAATATATACACATGTATGTAGATGTGTATGTATGTGGATATGTATTATGATATGCACATACATAAATACTCATGTGTGCATATGTATGTGGGTGTGTGCATATAAGTATATGTAAGTACTTGCATATATACACATGCATGTAGATATGTGTATATGCATGTGCATATGTATGTATAATATGCATATATATACATAAAGTACTCACGTGTATGTACATATACGCAAAGGTATGTGTATATGTGTGTCTATATAATAGAGACACACATACATACATCTAAGTCCTCACATATACACATATATACATCTAAGTATATATATGCCTTACATATATGCACATGTATGTAGGTGTGTATGTATATTTAATGGTAAGATTCAAATTCTGAAGTCCAAACACAGAAAACAAGACTGGATTTGGAGTTTGGAGACCTGGGCTTTCCTTCTTCAGCTCATTTGACAGATGAGGAGACTAAGGCAAGCCAGGGTTAAATGACTTGCTCAGGGTCATACAACTAGTAAGTGTCTGAGACCAGATTTGAACTCAGGAAGATGAATCTTCCTGGACTCCAGGCGCAGCACTCTATCCACTGCATCACCTAGCTGGGATTTACAACTATAAAGCATTCTATGAACACATCTTATTCATCCTACATTTAAATGAGTTTACAATCCTATTGAAAAAAATTAAGCAAACCATTAAAATCATATAAGGAAACAAGAATGCAATTTTATTGTATTTTAATGCAATTTTTATATTGAATATGTGTGGCTACTTAGGAAAATAGTAAGATTGCTGGAATAGAATATCTAGGGACATACCTCCAGGTCTTTCATGGTCTCCATCAGTGTGTAGAAGCATTGTAATGGGCATTCCTACATTCTTGGATCTTCCAACTACAACCACGTTTTTTCCAAATGTTTCAATTCCTTAAAATACAGAGTTTGGTTTGAATGTAGAAAAAGTAATGAGAAGCAATTTAAACACCTAAAAGGTTGACTGAAACAGTCTACCAAAACAGAAACTAAATTATTGCTATATGATCTAAAGACATAAATTAAATGATTCCTCTCTGACATATGGATAACATAACATTTATTCTATTTGATTACATTTGTTTTAATGCTATTTGTTTTTAATGCCATCTCAGGATTTCTCACTTTGCTTCAAATGAACATGCAGGTTATGTTTAATCATTGTTATTTACTTTGAGAATTGTATTCTAGTGGCTTATAAGTGAATTGTGCTGCAGAAGCTAGAATAACACCCTATTATCATGCTTCCTATCTCAATTATATTGGACATAAATCTATGTAATGGGTGAAAACAACTACTAAGTAGAATATCTGACACAAATCCCACACATTTAAGCTCATGGCTTTAATGATCCTGATTATCTGTATGACCTAACCTTTCTGACTATCACTTTACTCAAGTCTAAAATATGGAGGTTGGGCAACACCATGTCACCATGTCTAAAGTCTTTTCCAACTCTACAGCTCTAAAAACCTATGACTTTTTCCAGGACACTTTTGGTTATTCTTACATTATAGAATAGCATATTAGGAAGAGGCTAGATGCCATCTGGAGCTGGAACTCTGAGAAATGGCAAAAAGGAGAAAAACCATCAAGAAAATCCCTAAAGCATGCTGGGGTCACTCAGACCAGAGGCAAACAGTCCTACATACCACAATCAATAATGGAATTAAAGCAAAGAGGATCAGTTGACATTTAAAGCCTCTGTATAGGATTTTGTTTCTAAGCAGACAAAGATATATGTAATATAACACACTTTAGGCAGAAAAAAAGTAGCTAATATTTTTAAATGACTTTAGTTTTCTGGAAAATTTGTGCAGTGAACCTCATTCTTTCAATGATATGATTAGTAGCTTGGTGGCACAGTGGATAAAGCGTTGGACTTCAAGTGAGACAGTCCTGAATTCAAATACACTAGCTGTGTGGCCCTAGGCAAGTCATTTAAACATTCTGTGCTTCAGTTTCCTCATCTGTAAAATGAAGTTAATAATAGCACCTACCTCCCCAACTTGTAGTCAGGAGTAAATGAGATAATACATGTAAAGTGCTTTGAAAACTTTAAAGAACTATATAAATGCTAGTTATTATTATATGAGATCATAGGATTTAGAGCTGGAATGGATGCTAGAGTTTCTTTAGCCCAATCTCCTTTTAGAGAGGAGGAAACGATATCCATAGATGTTAAGTTCCTAAGACTATAGAAAGTAAATTATAAAAGCAAGGGTTCAAATCCAGGTCTGCTCTACACCCCAGTCTTCTCTCCGCTATACAAGAAACAAGGGAGGAGAATACAAAAATAAAGGACAATAGCCATCTGCCCTACATCCTCCATGCCTTCTTTATAGCTTTCTTTCTACATATCTTCTATTATTCTAAGTCAGATTTTATAATCACCATGATGAACATTTAAAAAAAAAGACACTGGGAACAGAATTGCAGTTTAAGTACCAACATCTGTTGCAAAGGATGAGGGAGATAAATTCTCTACAAACTGAGTAAGATTCTACAAATTAAATTAACATATAATTTCATAATTTGATAACTTCAGAGCAAAAGTAAGCATGGGGAAGTATGGTGAAAACTACTTGGAAAATGTGACTCAAGGTATATATAGATAAACAGACAATAGATTTATATGATAGACAGATGGACAGACAGATAGACAGACAGACAGACAGACAGATAGATAGACAGACAGACAGACAGGCAGACAGACAGACAGACAGACAGACAGATAGATAGATAGATAGATAGATAGATAGATAGATAGATAGATAGATAGATAGATAGATAGACAGATAGATAAGAAAAATAACATAGATGGCCAAAGAATTGTAAGTTATACAGAAGTCTGATGTCCACATAACAGAAATAATTTCAAGAAGAAATTCAGACTTTTGGCAGAGTAAATAGCTGAATAATATGATAAAAAATGAAGTTAATTAGTGAAATAAATGACCTATTGCTGATGTGAGAATCATTTAAATATTGGCTATCTGTGTACAGTCAGACCATAGACTTATTGAGAAAAGATGAAAACAATCTCAGATTAGAAGACTACAAAAGAGAAGAAACGGCATTTAGTTAAAACATCTCCTACTTGACCTACTTAAACCTATTCTTTATTGATGCTGGAAAATTGGAAATCGATATTCACAAGGAAATAAATGATAACTGAATAAAGAGATCAAAAGAATCTAGAAATTGCCTGAGCCAGCAAACACTTGAATTTCACAAATGGAAAGAAATGGCAGCCAACTGCAATACTGTTGCAGTATATAAAATGTATTGGAAGGGGATGGCAGAAGATTATGAGTAGTATTATAGCATGAGTTTGCAGAAACTTATTAATTAACCTGGACCAACCTGAAGACCCTGAAGGATGTAACTGGGATGAGGTCAAACAGATGAAATAAGGAGAAGATACATCAAGATTTCCATACCAAACTATTCCCCTATCAATGGCATTCACATGATTGCATCTGCTCTAACAGTGCCTGCAAGAGGGAGTAGAAATGGCACTAAAAATGAGAAATGTGGAAAGAACATTTAGGCTAGAAAAAAGCATGTACAGAGAATTCTGGTCAATGGAGGCAACACAATTTTGAGGGTGCGGAAGGATCTATTCTCTTGATATCTGAAAGAGAAGATATTAAATACCTGGAAATAAATCAAGCATTGAAAAAGGTAATAAATAAAATGGCAACCATTGCTAATCCATATGCCTACTTTCCTATCTCTACAAAATCTTTATAATAATTGGCATGTGTATGGAAGAATTAATTCAGAGACTCATAATCTTTTTTTGCATGCCTTAGGATCTATGAAAGTCTAGAGAAATCTATGGACTCCTCAAAATAATGTTTTTAAATGTATAAAATGAAATACATGGGATTATAAAAATATATTGAAATAGTTATCAGTTTTTTTTAAAGAAATAAGCAAGTTCATGGACCCCAGGTTAAGTATCCCTTCCTCAGTTGATAGAGGTCTGAGAAGGAACCAATAAGGCTTTTACAGTCCATGGACTCTACTTATATCCACAAAAAGGCAATAGATTTAGAATAAGGTTTCTAACACATGATGTGATATAGTACAACGGTGGGACATAGGCAAAAGTCACACAGGACGAGAAGGTATGGATGGAAGCATCCAAATTGATAAGGTCATCAATCCATGAAAGTATTTTAAATATCTTTCAGATTAGCACTCCCATTTTCCCCATTTCTCAGACATTAAGTCTGAAGTCCAGCAACAAAACATCTGTCAATCATATATATAAGTAGGACTTACCCATTCTTTCAGTCAATATCTACTGAATATCTACCATGTGAATGGAATGTGTAAGTAAGAAGTAACAAATCAGTGAACACTTTAGTATTTTGTACCCACCCTACTCAGATTATTTCTTTTTCTTCCTTTTTTTTTTGGTGAGGCAATTGGGGTTAAGTGACTTGCCCAGAGTCACATAGCTAGTAAGTGTCATGTGTCTGAGGCCGGATTTGAACTCAGGTTCTCCTGACTCCAGGGCCAGTGCTCTATCTACTGCACCACCTAGCTTCCCCTATGTTATCAGTATTCAATTTTTTTTTTTGGCTAGGCAATGAGGTTAAGTGACTTGCCCAGGGTCACACAGCTAGTAAGTGTTAAGTGTCTGAAGTTAGATTTGAACTCAGGTCTTCTTGACGCCAGGGCTGGTGCTCTATCCACTGCACCACCTAGCTGCCCCACCTCAGAGTTACCTACCAGTTCTCTTTATGATTTCCCAAACAGCACAGGCAGTGGCTGGTATCATAGAATGCTGATCCAGACATAGTCGTCCAACATTGACAATATGAAACCCATCCACATCTTTTCCAGGTGCAATTCCATTGCAGACTGTCCGTTCATCTATGTGGTCTGTAAGATATTAAAAATTGGCTCAGTCATTTAGGAATCCTGGGAATCAAATTGGAAATAATCATGCCAAGCTCACTCATTTAGGATCCCGGGGTTTTATGAATCATTTAATTTTTTGTCACTCCCTTGATATCACAAACAGTAATGAAAAACATTCTTTAATCATAATCCACCTAGTATATGCAGTGTTAAGGACAGGTCTCTTCATCTTTCTGGACCTCAGTTTCATCATCTATACAACTAAAAGTTGGAACTAAATGATCTCGAGGGTCCATGTCAGCTATATATTCTATGATGCTATGAAAGTCCAATGCCGGGAGAGGTCGATCAGACCAAAAAAGAAGTCTTGGTCAATGATAGAATATTTATCTTCCCTGAAAGAAACAACATCATTGATCTGGGCTGCGACTTTACTCATAATAGTTATAATTGAAGCATTTTCTACTTCAGAGGATTATCATGAATTTCAATTAACAGGCATTTGGTAAGGGGCTCTGAGAGCCCAAAGGGAGAAAGATTGACAGATGTTAAGGAATTCTTTGTATCATTTTAAGTGTCTACTCATGCCAATAAAATGCTTGAAGAATTTATATTCATAAATCATTGGCATAGTGTAACCCCAACTATATTTACTTAGTACTAAAATAATTAATTATGGGAGGAGACCAATATAATCTAAGTCATGAATGAGCAGAAATGTTCACACATAGGCTACCTGTGTTGTCATTGTCTAAAATGAATAATAGGTGCACAAGTATAGAACATCATATTATATGATCTTCTTACTCTACATTAAGCAAATTATGTGATTAAAAGTCTAATTCTTAACCCATTAACAAAACACCCTATCTGAAAGGCCAAAATGAAGTATCTGTTACATTAAAATTCCTTTGCTAATTATATATTCTACACTAGTTAATCGAGTCACTTTTGACACATATTGGCTGTGTTGACCTGGACAAGCTCCTTAACCTCTCTGTGCCTCAGGCTCAGGCAATTATTTAAAAGTACCAGTTAAAGAGGAGGTGCCAACCTGCTTTGGTGAAGAGGGTTTCCTTATCCATATATGAATGAAATCATAAATCTAAATGAATCATTTTTTCAAGACATCACAGTTTGAGTCTAAACTTCATTTTTTTTCTACAGGTTTTTTTCCCCTCTAACTTAGTCCATTTGGCTTTTAGACAAATAAAATGCATTTATTACAATGCAATTAATAAGGCATGTAATTTCCCCCATAGGCAAGTTGAATTTTATTTGTATTAGACTACTAAGATTTTAATAATATGCAAAAATTAGTAGCTTAAATCCTATTTTTAAAGTAGTGTTTATGGAAAATAGATCACACATTTCTGAATTCAACATTTCACACTTATTTCCATAAATTAATTTCATTTAGTGAGTTGTTAGGCAGTTAGGTGGCCCAGAGGATGGAGTATTGGACCTAGAGTCCAGAAGACCTCAAACACTTACTAGCTATATGACCTTGGACAGGTCACTTAACCCTGTTTGCCTCAGTTTCTGTAAAATGAGGACAATGAAAGTACTTACCTCCCCAGGTTGTTATGAAGATAAAATCAAATGGTATTTGTAAGTTGTTTACAAACCTTAAGGCACTATATAAACACTAGCTATTATTGTTATTAGGCACTTGAATTTCTTTTGTTGTCGGTTAGTCGTTTCAGTCACATACAGCTCTTCATGACCCCATTTGGGGTGTTCTTGGCAGACATACTAGTATGGTTTGGCCTTTTCTTCTCCAGCTCATTTTACAGAAGAGAAAACTGAGGCAAATAAGTATAAGTGACTCACCCAGGCTCACACAGCTAGAGAGTGTCTGAGGACAAATTTGAACTCAGGTCTTCCTGATTCCAAGCTCAGTGTGCCACTTAGCTGATGAATTCCTTAGTCTAATTTAATTAGCTTTGAAAATAGTTTGTACTCATAAGGGACCATATCATGTTAAAATCAATGATATTCCTTTAGAATGATAAATCACTTTCATCTAAATTTCATTATGATATTGAAAGTAGTTTTCCCAATCCCTAACTTCAAACTGCCAAAGTTTCATGATGATTTTGTTTTTTATTCAATAACTTCCCAACCTGTTCATAAATTAGGGGCTGCCCAGAATGTGAATTTTCCCCACAACTAAAATGCAAGCAACTCAGTAGCATGGAGGGTGCCATAGTGCTTTGTACAAGACTAGGAAAATAGTATGTGCTTTAAAGTTGCTTGCTGAATTTGAATGATGAGATAATTTCTAAGATCAGTTTTAAAGTTATTCGAATCTGCCATGGGAATATGTCACATGTCCAGACCCCCTCAGATGGCATCTCTCCATGAGGAAGATGCTAGAAAATTGCTTCTGGAGAATAGTGTAAAGAAAGTACCTTAGAGAGACTGGAGTACAAGTGGACGTTAGGTAATTGGTTCTGATCAGCCAGCATGTGATGAGCGTGAGGCTTTTTTATTGACATTCTAAAGCCTGTTGACTTCAATCAATATTCTCTTTGCTTCATTCGCTTTTGGGGGATCTCAGTGACTCACTCAGGGAGTCCAGTAATGGGAGTGGAATCTCCAAGCTTAAGAGTTTTGAAAGGCTGGATGAGTGAACCATAAGAATCCAAGAGTCAAAGTACAGGTTGAGTATCTCAGCCTTGATGCCCCAGAGAGCACGATGTCATTTTCAGGAGTGATTTTTAGCACTTCAGCCCAGTAGAATGATACAAGAGAGGATGTGCCCCAGAGGCGTTAGGAAAAGTATTTGTACATTTGTTCTTGCTATATAGCAAGTAAATATCTTTTTGGTTAAAAAAAATAATCAGTTTTTAGTGATTGAATGGAACTCAGTGCTAGTCACTGCCCCCCTCACCCCCCCCCAAGAGTGGGTATGGGGAAGAAGCACAGTTAGTGAGAGTTCTGGCTAATAGTGGTTGAGAAAAAATTGCCCCAAGCCTCCTACCCTGCTCAGGGTATCCTGGAAACCTGAAGGGTGATGTATGTAGCGTACTTGGCTTTGAAAGAGTGAACCAGAGAATTCCGCCGTAGGTCAGATACAAAGCATAGTTAATACCAATCACAAATGGAACAACATTTCCATCTAGTGGCCTAATCCTGATAAAAATCAACTGAAACGAGTAGGACTTTTATATGAACACTTTCTACAAGAATAAATGTTATTTTATAATGAAAGAAAATTTAGTACAATATTTAGAAATTTGTGATCAACATAATTTATTTTAAATAAATTTTAGTTGATTTTTTTTGTTTTTATACAACTTTTCCATTTCTATTTCCATATATGTCTTCCTTTTCTCACTTCCAGAAATACATCCCTTAAAACAAAGTATTTCAAAAGTCTTACTTTTTTTATACGTTGGTTAATTTGGCTGAATTGTTTTCCCCCCCTTTTTTGCAATACTATTCAGTGTTCCACAACTTCAGACCCAATGCCTCTGCCAAGAAATGGGAAGGGCGCCTTCTTATATCTCTTCTTTGGGACCAAGTCTGGTCACTATCATTTTGTAGTATTCAGTGTTGATTGTTTTGTTGTTATTATTTTCATTTACGTTGTTGTACTCATTGTATATATTGTTTCTCCGATTCTTCTTACTTCACTGTGCATCCGTTCAGATAAAATTTTCCATTATTCTTTGTATTCATCATATTAATAATTTGTTAACAGTAATATTTCATTACATTTATGTAAAACAATTTGTTTAGCCATTACCAAATGATAGATATCTACTTTGTTTCCAGTCCTTTTCTACCATTAATATTTTTGATAAAAATATTTATATATTTGTATATATATAGTCTCTAAATTTTTCTTTTTTCACGGACCTCTTTGTCTAGCAGTGTTATTTCTGAACCAAAGGGTTGGGTCGTTTTAGTGTTAATGATATAATTTAAAGACCTTCAAAGTATGATGTGGCCTCATCATTGACATGGGAGTGACCCTGGGCTCCTAAGGGCTAGACTAGCACAGCACATGCTCTAACTTGTCCTCCCAAGGCAGGAAGAGTTCAAATATGAACCCAGGAAGAAAGAAAACAAGCAATTTTTTAAGCACCTACCATGTGTCAGGAACTGTACTAAATACTTTACTTACTACTATCTCATGTGATCCTCACAACAGGCTTGCATTATTATTCCCAGTTTACAATTGAGGAAACTGAGGCAAACAGCATAAGTGACTTGCCCAGTGTCAGTAAATGTCTGAAGCAGAATTTGAATTTCTTGTTCAAATTCTTGTTCAAATCTTCCTAACTCCAGGCCCAGATCTCTATCCACTGAGCCACTTGGCTACCAGAAGTTCCAAGAAGGAGAGAGTGCTAAATTCCAAAGAGAAATTCTATACACATCCCTGGAATAAGACTATAGTTAGCTGGAGATAACTATGTAAAAAAGAGAACAAGGTTCTTATTTAGGTGCTCATAGGCTCATTGCTTTAGAGCTGGAGGAGGTCATCAGAGGTCATCTAGGGCAACCCCTCATTTGATAAATGAGGAAACTAAGACCCAGACAAGTTAAGTGAACTGCCCAAGGTCATGTAAGTAATAGGATTAGAATCTGAACTCAGGACTTCTGACTCCAAATCCCACATGATTTCCACTATACAGAAAAGTTTAAGTTTTGGAATGTTTGGTAACCAATCAATCAACCTGGTTATTTTATGATCTTTCCCCAGACACAGATTGTGGGTCTTCTCTCCAAGGACTAGTCTACCTAAGTGCAGGAATCAGGGTTGTCCACAACCTTATTGTGGTGGTAATTATTTTTTAAATTAATTTTTCAACATGGAAACTAATGAAACGTGGAAGGCATATTCTACCTTTGTAAAGGGACAAGCCATACCAGTAAAATAACTAGTCTTTCAAAGTACAAAAGTGGTGTATAGTCTGGTGTGGTTTTTTGTCTTAGTTTGGTTTGGTTTTGCTTTGAAGGAGGTTTACATATTAAAGACAACAGAAGCAGAAAATTTGCATCAAGTCAATTTGTGAATTGATCAACAGATACCAGGGGGATCTACTCTGTAATTTACAACTAGTCCAAGAAATGCTTATCATAAAGCTGAGCCAGAAATTCTTTTATCCCTAACCACTTAATCACCTGGGTTAAATTTTTGGAGGTCTCAGCAAAATTGCACTCTAAGAGAAAAGCTTCAGCCAGTTGCATGATTTTCTTTCAAAACAAAATGGCTGCACTAGAGCCAAGAGAAAATACATTTAAACTCTTATGACAAATTCTACGACTAACTAGTCATGGCAGTCAGTCTAGACCCCAGTCTCTTCTTCCATAAAATGAGAAGGTTGGATTCAATGATTTGTTGTTGTTCAGTCGTTTCAATCATGACCAGCTCTTCAAGTTGCCATTTGGGGTTTTCTTGGCACGTATATTGATGTGCCATTTCCTTCTCCATCTCATTTACAAATGAGGAAACTGAGGCAAACAGGATTAAGTGACTTGCCCAGGGTCATATAATTAGTAGGTGTCTGAGGCTGGATTTGAACTCAAGCCTTCCTGACAGAAAGCCCAGCACTCTATTCACTGTGCCACCTAAGCTGCCCACTGGACTTAATGATATCTAAAGTCATTTCCAGGGCCAATATTCCATAACTCTATAATATACTGGCATCACATAACATTTTGACAAGTAATCATAGCTAGTACAATGTTTTGCAGATAGTTTGGAGAAAAGAGTAATATTAACTTGTATTCTTGGGAGAAACAAGTGAATGCTTTAGTATCAATATAGTTAAACTATGCATTAACACTATAACAATAATAATAACTAGCGCTTATATAGAGCTTTAAGGTATGCAAAGCTCTCTCTCTCTGTATATACATATACTATATATATATATACACATACATTAGCTATATGTGTGTGTGCATAACAGTTTATAAGATTTATAAACATGATCACATCTTATCTTCATAGCAACAGTAGAAGGTAGGTACTATTATTATCGCCATTTTACAGATAAGAAAGCTTAGTCAGACAGTGATTAAGTGACTTGCCTTTTGGTTAGGTGCCTGAGGATGGATTTGAACTCATATCTTCCCGACTCCAGATTCAAGACTCTATCAACTGCATCAGCTAGCTGTCTGATAAAACAATCAGCCAAGCCCACTGTACCACCTAGCTGCTTATATTAGATTGGTCAAATTGTGGGACAGGATTACATATATTTTCATGACTATAAATAAGCATATATATATATCTTTTCCCCTCGAACATAATGAGCAATTAGTAAATGTTTGCTGAACCCAACAAGCTATGTATCCAATGACCAAAACTAACAAGAGAAGATCTTCCAAAGCTATACACTGTTTTGTCTTTTCTGGTATTGTCATTTGTCTTTCTGTTTTGTGGCATTTTAATCTACTCCATTGAAAAAGCTATAGAATAAAGGAATTTCAAAAACCTTCAACATTTTCATGCTAGGATAGACACATCTTTACACTAGTCTCTTTTCCAATATTTTAAAAATGAAATGCAATACTTTGAAGATAACTGTAACACATGCCATTTTTTCCTTAGAATTACACCCAAGGCATAGCACAAAATTACATTACCTGGCAAAGGCAGTTGAACTAATATACCACTAACTCTTGAGTCCATATTTAGTTGCTCAGTTATGTCCAAAAGTTCTTCCTGAGAAACATCTTTAGGTTTCAGAATGACTTCACTACCAATGCCTAAAAGAAAACATACAGGAGTCATACAATAACCATTCAAGTATTCATTAGAAGTTTCTGGGACAGTGGGTCAATTCAATACTCCCTTCCAAGAATGTTTGAGGCTGGATTTGAGCTCAGGTCTTCCTAACTCCAGGCACAGCTCTCTACCCACTGTACCACCCAGCAACCTTGAGAGGCTAGTATATGGCTTGAGCTCAGGGGTTCTGAGCTGCAGTGAGCTAGGTCAATTGGGTGACCATACTAAATCCAGCATCTATGTAAGTTCTCCCAAGCAAGGGGAACATCTGCCTCCTTAACAAGAGTTGAACCAATACAAAGCAGAAACAAAAAAGGTCAAAGTTCTCATAATGATCAGTAGTAAGAATGGTATTGTGAATGGCTGGTACAACTCCAGCCTGGTGGAGAAATAGACAAATAAAAATGGTTTGTCCTTTCTAGGTAGCTTGGCTGCCTTCTGCTCCTAACATCTCACCTTACTGATGTCAGATTTATTGTGGACACCCAATCATCTTAACCCACTGTAGCTCAGAACTCCCAAGCTTAGGCTATCCATTAACCTCAGACTCCTTGGTAGTGGAAATTATAGCAGCCACCATGCCTAGCATGCTTCTCTTTTTAATCCTAAATCATATTTTTCACCATTTTCCATCATCACTTGGGCCCTCATTTTTGTTGAAATGACTAAATACCAAGGCATAGGTTTGACTTGATTTAGAGATTCTTATGAAGGTCATCATAGAATCTCACTCCTTTTTCATCTTCTGAAATAGTGGTGACATGTATACTGCAGCTACCTTAATTGTGGTCTATTTCTTTGTATCCATATTGAGCACGCTAAGGAAAGATGACCCAATTTCCTATGAAATCATGTCTCTTATTGCCCTTGGATCCCAATGAAACCAATTCTGCCAACTCCTTTCTTTCCAACCTGTCAGACACCGTTCTATTTATTTGTTTCCTGAATTCATTTTCCTTTGTCCTTGCCTCAGGGGAAAGTGAGTTTCTCTCTGATTAGAAATATTTAAGCTGGACTTAAATGACCACTTGTTAGTGATGTAGCAGATGGGAAGTATTCTAGGTAACCCTTGCTGTTCTAGGTCCCTTCCAACTTTAATACTCTATAGTCCTTATATACGTAACTAGAGACCATCTATGCAGCAGAATGTATCAGTCACATTAAAGCACACAAGGCTACGCTTTTTAATCAAAGAAAATTATTAATTAAGTAAAGCTAATGCAGAAAAAGAAAAAAAACTTTGATTTTTTTTCTGACTTGTCTCTTACATTCTTTTCCAGCAATGAGGTACCAAGTCATGTATTAATAACTCTGTGATTTTAAATAGCAGAAGATCCTTTAAAAATTAAATCTGTAAGAAGGCCCTGCATGTGAAGAATGCATGTGAAATACTTAATAGATATAGGTGTTCACATGAAATGCTTACTTACCCACAGCTGTAGCAGCTTTTATCTTATTTCTTACATAGGTATGGCTTGCTGGGTTGTCTCCTACTAAAATGATACTGAGATGAGGTTTCCTGTTCCCAAGGGACACCCATGATTCTACCTCATGACATATTTCTTTACAGATCTGTCTGGCCATTTCAGTTCCTGAGATAACGGTGGCTTCACATCTATAAAAACAAGCAAGCAAAAACAAAAACAGGCAATTAAAAAGACAACATTGATCGATCAATCAACAGGCATTTATTAAGTACCTACCATATGATGAACAAAGCCTACAGGCCAAAGGGATAGTGGTTATTCATTCAGGACAGGGCTAACACCTGTGAATGGCTAGACAGATTACAGGAGAGGAGAAGGTGATAAAAGTATAGATTTAGAGTAAGAAACGGTCTGTTCCAGAAAGCATCTATTTCAATCTATTCATTTTACAGATAAGGAAATGGAGGCCCTGAGAACTGAAGAGATATTTCCCAGGTCATGCAAGCAGCAAATAGCAGAGCCAGGAATGGGACCCAAGTCTCCTGACTCAAAAACCCAGTATTCTTTCAGTGCTATGATAATAAAGGTAAGGCCTGAATTGGGAGGATAATGAGTATAAGCAAATGGCTAGGCCAAGTTGATACCATGGTGTCTGCAGACCCCCAAGATCCAAAGGGACTGTCAGAACCCCTCATTTATAAGAGCAAAGAGTTAAGTTGTGAAGTCTATACTAGGTCAGGGAATTAATGCGCAAGTTGGCCTTGGAAATCTCAAGCCACCATTTCTGGGCAATCACCTTCTACCAAGTTGTATTCATCCCACTCCTGTGCTGAGGGAAATCTGTGGTGAAATCTAATGTTACCTCCACTGAGCTAGATACATCCAACTAATGTTGCATCATAGCTGTGTCCACCTTTAGTCATGGATGACCAAGTGTAGTCCTGAACAGGTTCCAGTGGCCTATTTTGGGGCTGAAATGGCAGAAATACAGCATTTCCCATCAAGCCTTCCCAAGAGGAATGCACTGTGGTCCCTCTCTTGGAAATAGTCATTATTGGGAGGATAGATAACTGAACCAAGTTTGCTGCTGATAGCTTAATTCTAATATCTCTTGTTGAGGTTTAATGGCTGCAAACATTATGGTCTACACAAGGGCTAGCTTAGCAGTACTGAATTTCAAACTATATTATAAAGTGGCAATCATAAAAATAACCTGGTACTGGCTAAAAAATAGAGTGGTGGTGGATCAGTGGAATAGATTAGGTACACTATACACCCTAGTGAATGACCATAGTAATCCAGCATTGGATAAACCCAAAGATGCAAGTTTTGGGGACCAGAACTCACTAACAAAAATTGATGGGAAACTAGAAAGCAGTTTGGCAGAAACTAGGCACAGACCAACATCTCACACTGTACACTAAGATAAGGGCAAAAGGGGTATATGATTTAGACATAAAGACATGTAATAAGGAAATTAGGGGAGCAAAGAAAATTTTACTTGCCAGATCAGTGGATAAGGGAAGAGTCTATGGCCAAAGAAGTGATAGAGAGGATCATGAGAGGTAAAATTAATAATCTTGATTACATGCATAAACAGAACCAATCCAGTCAAAATTAGAAGGAAAGAAGGAAACTTGGGAGAAAGGATTTTAAAAGCAAGTTTCTCTGATAAAGGTTCTATTTTTCAAATACATTTCTCAAATATGAGGAGTCAAATGTATAAAATAAGAGCTATTCCCCAGTTGATAGATAAATGGTCAAAGGATATAAATAGGCAGTTTTCAGAAGAATAGATCAAAACTCTAGGACAACCCTGAGGTGTACCTCACCCACATCAGATTGGCTAACATGACATAAAAGGAAAATGACAAACGTTGGAGAAGATATAGAGAAACTGGGACACTAATTCACTGTTGGTGGAATTGTGAATGGGTCTGGAGAACAATTTGGAACTTTGCCGAAAGGGCTATAAAACTCTGTATAGCCTTTAACCCAGTAATACCACTACCAGGTCTGCATCCCAAAGAGATCAAAGAAAAAAGGAAAAGGTCCTAAATGTACAAAAATCTTTATTGTAGTTCATTTTGTGGTGGCAAAGAATAAGAAATTGAAAGGGTGCTCATCAACGGGGGGATGGCTGAACAAATGGTGGTATATGATTGTGATGGAATACTATTGTGTAAGAAATGATGAACAGGCTGGTTTCAGAAAAACCTGGGAAGACTCATAGGAACTGAAGCAACGTGAAGTCAGCAAAACCAGGAGAACATTGTACACAATAACAGCAATACTGTAATGATGATCTACCTTGAAAGACTTAGCTACTCTAATCAATACAATGTTCCAAGATAACTCCAAAGGACTCATAATAAAAAAAAAAAATTCTGTCTACTTCCAGAGAGAGAACTGATGAACTCTGAGTACAAATTGAAGATTTTTTTAATTTTCCTCATTTTTCTTGCTTATTTTTTGCGACATAGCTAATATGAAAATGTTTGGCATGATTTCCCATGTACAACTGATATATTGTTTGCCTTCTTAATTGGTCAGAGAGGGGCTAGAGGAAGAAAATTTGGTGCTCAATTTTTGACAAAATAATGTTAAATGTTTATTCAGAATATAAGTTGCTCAAAAGACAAAAATAAGCCATGGAGGACATTGTGTTAGCTCAGTGACTCAATAGACTACTTTCAAAGTTGATTGGGGGGCAGCTAGGTGGTGCAGTGGATAGAACACTGGCCCTGGAATCAGGAGGACAAATTTGGCCTCAGACACTTGGTACTGATTAACTATGTGACCCTGGGCAAGTCACTTAACCCCAATTGCCTCACCAAAAAAAGAAAAATTTGATTGGATTTTGTTTTAAACTGGTATATATATATGTATATATATATATACACACACACACACACACACACACACACACACACATATGTATATATTTACATTATATACAATATATTCATATATATGTATATATTTACAATATGTTCCTACCATTACTTTGCTATATTTGCCAAAATAGTTTTCTGTAATGACAACAAATATGCCATATCAGTATCATTTATTTTTACAAGTTTTCACCTGTTATTTTCAATGACAAGCAAACTTTAATAAAATAGCACTGTATGTGAAAAGAGAATGTTAAAAAACCAATTTTTAAGAGAAAATAATAGCGACAGCTAGGTGGAGTAGTAGATAGACCTCCGGCCTTGGAGTCAGGAGTACCTGAGTTCAAATGCGGCCTCAGACACATACTAGTTGTGTGACCCTGGGCAAGTCATTCAACTCTGATTGCCTCACTAAAAAGCAAAAATAAATAAATAAATAAATAAAAGGGCTAGTTTGAAAGAGAATGATGTCTTATTCCAATTCAGCTTTATTTCTTAAATGACAGTACATCTGCCCTCCAAATGTAATGCCTTGGAATGTGGGAGATAGTGAAGAGGAACCTGTTGAAAAGTCCTGCCCTGCAGACCTAGCACTGATTAATTTATCAGCTGACATGAAGGTGTTCTCAGGTCTTTTGTCTGTAGGGACAAAGGAGGGGCTGTGTTTCTCAAGATGGTACCTTTTGCTCAAATATGGCTTTGACTAAAGGCAATTCATCCTCTCTGACTGTAAATAAAGAGAAGCAGGAGAATGAATCTAGGCAAAGGAGTAGTCTAGGAAGAGAAAAAAGATTTAGATTCAAGGAGGAGAAATAAGTCTACAACAAAAGAAGCTTCAGTGACTCTCTATCGCTTCTAGAATTAAAAAAAAATCCTTTTTGGTGTTTAAGCCCCACACAATTTGGCTTCAACATATTTTTCCAGATTGATCTCATGCACTCTATGTTTCAGCCAAACTGGCCTACTCATTGACCCCAGTACATAATATTCCATCCCATGACTTCATGCATTTTTTAATTAGTTAATTAATTTTTTCAACCAATGAAAATACACTATCTCTCCCTCCTTTTACCTCTACCCCTCCAGAAAGTAAAACACACACACACACACACACACACACCAGGGAATAAAAAAAAAAAAAGAAAAAAATGTTACCTGATAGCTTTATTATATATTTAAAAGGAATGGCGAGTTGTACAAAATAGATTAGCAGTTTCATGTACCATCATCTTTCTTCCCCTATGTTTCTTCTATGTTATGGAAATGCTTATTTTATTTCTTAAGTTCAGAATAAAATAAATATTTTTTTAAAAAGTCTAGCAAAACAAATTCCCACATGGGCCATATATGTGTGTTTGTTTGTATATTTATATAGCAATCTGCACACTATCTTGTCTTTGCACAAAGCCTAACACAGTATCTGGCACATAGTAGATACTTAAGAAATGCTTTCTGAATTGTTGAATGGAAGCTAAGGAGAACTTAAGGTCAGAAAAAGTTGTGTATACAAGGAAAGGTGCTAATTCGGCTATAAGTTGTTCATAAGATGAGAAAACCTAGAGTTGAAGGCCCACAAAGAGACTTTAACATAGCCATTTGCCAAAGAAGTTACAAGCAGAGTGGTAACAAGGCATTTTGCCCAAAGTACATGGGTGAGGGATGGTAATAAGAATAAATGTCAAATCTTACATTTGGGTTCAAAAAATCAATTTCCCAAGTATAAGAAAAGGAGTTCACCTAAAAAGATCTGGAAGTTTCATTAAGACTGAAATTTCAATATGAGTCAACAGTGTGATGTTAACCCAAAAAGCTAATTCAATAATTAGGCTACATTACAAGCATCCAGGATTTACAAGGCTATAACTCCATGGCCCTCTGTCCTGGTCAGACCTCATCTAAAACAGTATTTTCATTTTGAGGCACCACATTTTAGGAGGGATGTGGATAATTTAGAGAGTGTCTAGGAGGACAACCAAGACAGTGAAGGGCCTTGAGATCATGGCATAGAAGGATTAGTTGAAGGACTGGGCGGGGGTGGTTAGTTTAAAGAAGAGAATTCTTAGGGGTAACATGATGGTGGTCTTCAAATATCTGATTGGCTGCCACCTTAAATTCTAGTTCTGTTTGGACTCAGATGGCAGAACTAGAAAGAAGCGTCATGGTAAAGTATACAGAGCATTGGCTTTGGAGTAAGCAGATCTGGGTTCAAATTTTATCTCTGTCATTTACTATCTATGTAATTTTAGGCAAGTCATTCCATCACCCTGAGTCTCAGCTTCCTCCTCTATAAAGTGAGGGGTTGGGACTACAGTTATCACTTCCACATCACAAGGATTAGGGGCACAGCACCTTTGCAATCTGGAAAAACCATGTAAAATTATTTGGCCCTCCTTTCGTACTAGAGAAGAAGTCTTAATTATCATTGTATTAAAAGATAAAATATATTGATGTTATACAATACCATACATATATTTTATGCAATTCTGAGTTCTTAAACTTTTTCTGTGACATCTGCTGGGCTTTGTGAATTGTCTGTGGCTTCTGCAAAACTCCCCCAAAATTCCCATTTAATCTCTTATGCCGACCCACAGTATATAGAAATTGTGATGAGGAAAGTTGGGGTGTGGGAAGGATGCCCATAGACGGTCTCCGAAGTCCCTTCCAGTTACTAATCTATGATCTATGAACAATGAACACAATGGACAAAGAAACAAGTTTAGGCTCTAAACAAACTTAGGACAATTTCTAATCAGGAGAAATGGAATGGGCTGCTTCCAGAGGAAGCTAGGTGGCACCACAGTGCATAGAGCACAAGGCCTGTAGTCAGGAAAACTCATCTTCCTGAGTTCAAATCTGGCCTTAGACACTTACTAGCTATGTGACTCTGGGCAAGTCATTTAACCCTGTTTGCCTCACTTTCCTCATCTGTCAAATGAGCTGGAGAAGGAAACGGCAAACCACTTTAATATATTTGCCAAGAAAACTCCAAATGGGGTCACAAGGAGTCAACTATGACTGAAAATAACTGAACAACAAGAGGTAACAGAACAAGGTGGTACAATGGTTAGAGTACTAGATCTGGAGTCTGGAAGACCTGAGTTCAAATTTAGCTTCAGACACTTACTAGCTGTGGGACCCCGGGCAAGTCATTTAATCTCTGTTTGCCTCAGTTTCCTCCACCACAAAATGGAGATAAGAACAACACCTACCTACAGGGTTGTTGTGGGGATCACATGAGATAATAGTTGTAAAGCATTTAGCACAATATGTGACACAAAGCAAGTGTTGTATAAATGTTAGTGATTATTGTCATTATTAGTGGGTAATAATACCCATCTCGTTAAATATCTTTGAGCAAAGTCTGCATGACTCTCCATCATGTCAAACTAGGGATTTCTTTTGTCGCCCCAAGACTCAAACAAACATTTATTAAGCATCTTTTACGTAAAGAACATCAAGGTAGACGTTGAGGAAAGATAAGAAGTTTAACACAACCCTGAAGGAGTTTAACACATCTAGTGTGGGTGTAGCAACACAAATAACCATACAAAACATAGAGTGTCCCCAAAATTTTAGTGCTGCTTTAAGCTTCTGTTGCATACCCTCTACAGTAACACTTCCGTACAAGTTTTTTCTATTCCAAGTAATTTTTTTTTAAATAGCTGCCATTCCTATCACCTCATCACATAATTAACAATAGCAATTCAACTAACAAGTTCATCCTTTTAATGACCAGGAAGCTCTCCAAATACAGCATATGAGAAGTAGCCCTTTCATTAAGAAAATACTTTAGAACAGGGTAATCCCTGGAGGTATTGAGTTAATTCACTGCTGACTTAGGCTAAACTATAGACCACCCTTATCTTTATTATTTTATATCCTTATAATAATAGCTAACATTTATATAGTATCTGGCAGATGAATGGCACAGCGGATACAATGCCAGGACTGGGGTCGGGAAGACTCATCTTCTTGAGTTCAAATCTGGCCTCAGACACTTACTAGCTGTGTGACTCTGGGCAAGTGACTTAACCCTGTTTGCCTCAGTTTCCTCATCTATAAAATGGGCTGGGGAAGGAAATGGCAAACCACTCCAATATCTTTGCTAAGAAAACCCCAAATGAGTCACAAATATTCAGATACAACTGTAGCAATTCAACAACAACAAAACAGAGGAGAGGCTTCAAATAGGAGGAGGCATGAGCTGGGCATTGAAGGAAGCTAAAGCTTCATAAGGTAGAAGTGAGAAGGGAATATATACCAAAAACTGGGGCGCAGCCTATGCAAATACACAGTTATGGGAGCTAGAATGTCACGGATAGGAATTCCAGGCTGGGTCTGACTCAGGGCAGTCCCCAGTAGGTTAGGTTTGATACTAGAACAAAATGAGACACTTGTAGGTCATTAACACAAGATTTACGTACCCACTGTAGGAGAAGGCTACTCAACAAAGGTAGGCATTGAGGACATCTTGAGTTGATTCAGCCAAGGGAAGCTCCCATCAAAATCCATGAGTGAAGCCTCCAAGTGCCCCTGAAGCTTGTTATGGCTGCTTTCTATTCAGGAGAAGAGGAACTATTGTCATACGTATGAGTTTTTCATCTCCTGAGCCAACCAAGTCTCAAGGAATGTTTTAATGCAATACCTTTTAAAGAAAAATTAGACAGACTTGTATGGGGGGAAAGGTTAAGATAGCATTCTTACAACAAGGAGAAACAAATAGGCCAGTCAGGATGGAATACATTATGTGCGAAGGAGAGTAACGTAAAATAAATCTCAAAAGATAGGCTGGAGCCAGGCAGCCAGTCAATAACCATTTAGTCAGAACTTACTGTGCACCAAAAACTATGCTAATATTATGTTATGGGGATACAAAGAAAGGCAAAAACAGTCTTTGAACTTCAGGAGCTCACAGAGGAGTGACCTCAGAGGAAAGGGAAAGTGTGGGTTAGAATCTGGGTAAGGAAGGTCCCTTGTAGAAGGTGTGATTTGGGCTGAGTCTTGAAGGAAACCAGGGAAGCCAGTGGACAGAGATGAGGAAAGAAAGAATTCTAGAAATGGGTGATATATGGAAAGTGTAAGAAGACTAAAAAGGTAGGAAAAGGCCAGATTCTAAAAGGTCTTTAAAAGATAGAGGATTTTATATTTGATCCAGGAAGTAGTAGCCACTGGAATTTATTGGGTAGGAGGGTTCCAATAGAACCAGAAAGTACTCCCCCCACCCCGTTTCCCAGAAACAAGTATTAGTTTTTCCTAAAAAGTGACAAAGCTGTTCTCAAGACCTCATTAGCCCCTGCCTCTCTTGACACAGTTTTCTAGTAACCTACAGGCATAAAAAAGTCCCACTCACTTGGAGTTGGGGCCCCTCCAACTTGAAGGATGTTTAAAGACCACTCAAATCACCATACTTTGTCTAACAGTATATTTCCATATGGAGACAAGGGTGGGGTGGAGGGGAGGGACACCAAATCTATAGAAGCTAATTTTTCTTGCATATCTATGTCATAATCTGGGTAAGTAAACTTCCTTTTGTTAACTGTTCAATGACTTACAGACACCTCATTTCATCCATCAAGTCTGAAATAAAAGGGTTCCTACAACAAGCCTGCCCCTAACAAGAGGTGACATGGTCAGTTCTGAGTTTAAGGAAGATCACTTTGGCAGCCAAGTGGAGGATGGACTGGACTGGGGAGAGATTTGAGGCAGGGAGAACCAGAAACATGCTGTTGGAAGAATCCAGTCATTAAGAGATGAAAGCCTATGCCAGAATTGCAGCTATGGTAGTGGAAAGAAGGGGACCTGTATGAGAGATATTGTAAGGTAAAAAAATATGACTTGGCAAAAGATGGGATATGAGGGGTGAGTGTGAGTGAAGAGTCAAGGATAACACCTCACAAAGTGCCAGCTTTTGTGAGTTAGGAGAAGGAAGATACGCTCAGCAGAAATAGGGAAGGTGGGGAAAAGGAAGGGTTTGGGGGTAAAGATTATTTGAACACGTTGATTTTGAGATGTCTATTGGAAATCAAGTTCAAGATGTCTAATAAGCAGATGGAGATGCAAAACTAGAGGTCAGTAGAGATTAAGACTGAAAAAATAGATCTGAGCATTATCTGCATAGAGAGGATCATTGAACCTACTGGAGACGATGATATAGGCAAGGCATCCCTGAAAGGGTAGCAACAAGGAAAGGTAGTAACAAAGGTAGTAACAAGTAACAAGTAACACTGGAGGGTAGCAGGGTAGTAACAAGATCAGACTGATGTTTTAACAGTATCAATTCGGTAGCTGTGGAGAGGACAGATTGGAGACGGGAGAGAAGGGATTCCAGTTAGGGAGCCCAGGTAAGAATCTATTCCAATAGACCAGGTAAGAAGCGAGAAAGGGCTACGTAAGCCGTTCCCCTCTAGATTATTGAATAGCTCACTAATTCGTCTCTGGCCTCAAGTCTCTCCCCTCTCCAGTCCATCCTCTTTTCTCACTGTTGCAAAAGAAATTTCCATTAAGTGTAAATACCACCATGTGACTCCTCTACTGAAACAAGTCCAGTAGCTTCCAAGTAACTCTTGGCTCAAATATACTTTGTTTAGCTATTAAAGCCCTTTACAAACTAGCCCCAGCCTCTCCTGTACTCACTGGACATTGCTCCCTCTTCCACACTCCGAAATCTGGCCAAACTGTTCTTCTCTCTGTTCTTCACACTCAGCACTCCATCTTCCAACTCTGTGGCTTTGCACTCCCTGTCTGTCCCACCAGCCCAGAATTCAGCCCCTACTTCCCTCACAGAGTCCCTTTCTACCTTTAATTCTCAGTTCAAGCACCATCTTCTTTCTGCAAGCAGCCTTTCCTGATCCCCAACCTTTGCTTAACTAGTTTGCATATATTTCTAATTATTAAATTTATATTTTTGTTGTTTGTATTTTGTACGCACTTACCTCACCCATTAGAACATAAGCTACTATGTGACAAGCCCTTTGCTAAGCACAGGAGATACAAAGAAGGGCCAAAACACATGTACATACAAACACATACACATATACAGGTGTGTATATATATATATACACACACAAACACACACATACACATACATACCCATATACACATACACATACACATGCACATAGACACATAAACACATTCCATTTTCTCAGGATGCTCACCAGCAGTTTTCTATGGAAAGCTAAATAAAGATAAATTTAAAAGTTAAACACAAAGATTGCACCAGATTTCTACAACTGGTCTGATCGCCTTGGGATATCCTTTGGAATCTACTCCCAGGTCTGGGAAAATTGGTCAAAATCAATCCTCTCCTTCTGTATTCAAGTTCTCAGTGTATTCTGCATTGTATAGACTGTTCTTAAGTTGGTATGCAGCCTAGCTGCTCACTTTTATAGACAGCCAAGGTATCCTACTGGTCCTTCTCAACAAATGATGTTAGATCTTAGCCAGCTGGAACATCTATGATCTATACCTTTCCATAAGGTTTCCTTACTCATCACTTCGGCACTAACTGTGCAAAGAATGACAAAAAGTCAAGATTGAAATGCATTTTAATTAACTTTGAACTTAAGTGATCCCATCTTAGTTTTAATAAATCACAGGACTGATGTAGTGTGCTGAGTATTCTGTCTGAACAGATGTTTCTTTCTAAAGTTAATTGCCTCTGGGATCCCTGGAAATAAGAAGTGTGTGTGTGTGTGTGTGTGTGTGTGTGTGTGTGTGTATGTGTGTGTGTCTGTGTGTTGGTCCTTCTTTGTATCTGCATTGCTTAACACAGTGACTGGCACACAGTAGGCACCTAATAAATGCTTACTGCCTTGACTTGCCTTTATCACCTACATTCTGTTTTTATTGTTTGTACCATGTCTGTCCTATATCTTTTTAAAGCAGATGTTTCTTAATTAGGTTGTTGTTTTTCTGTACTACTATGCATCTCTGTAATTAGTGTGGCCAATTACAACTGAGTAAGCATTTCTTTTACTACTTTTCTATATAAAAGAAGCCATATAGGGAAAAAATGATTCTATATTCAAAGAGAGGATCTCCATTCACCTCTCTTGCATCACAAGGAACAGAAATCAATCACTAATAATGACAAATAAAAGAATTTAAGTATTATGCAAGAAGAGGTTGATTCTTCCTTTCCACCTGTATCCTAGCACCTAGGACAGTGCCTGGCATGTAGTAAGCCTATCATAAATATTGATTGATTGATTAAGGGTAAAATGTACGGCATTTTTCTGTGTGCATCCCCCTAACCAACAAGGTGCCTGGTCCATAGCTCCTGATAAATGCCCACTGGCACATAAGGCTTGCTCCTTGATCAGGTGAAATCAATTGCAGCAGAGGTAAGTAGCAAAACGAAGGCACTTATTTATATACGATGTTTTTTCTTCTAAAAGGATCAGCTCAGAAAGCTGGCCGGTCTGTTTTCAAGCAGGCTGTGAGGTGGATGCCCGGCACAGAATCAGACACTGATAAGCAGTCAGACACTGAGGGATTGTCATCAGCATCAGGGAAATCTAGACGATGACAACAAGGGCCAAGCTAGAAAGAAAGACTTGGGTCTGGGGGTTATTTCCCAACAAAATTGACATGAACAGGTCACATGAGGTACTCCCTGACCTATTGGCAATCTTATTTCTGTTTGTTTCACTTACATGCTTTGCCTTCAAACAAAATTATATCAAAATAATCAGAAATTAAATGTGCTGCTGACTCCTTAGAGTAGAGTAGCTGCTTTATTTTCTGGCTAATCATTTTATTTTTTTTCTAAGTAAATAAAAAAATTGGTCCCCTAAAATACACTTAGAAACTAATGCAAAGCATCTTTACATGCTAATAAGTTTCTGGCCCATTACTCTGCATGTAACTCACTTACTTTTATGTCTATCTTAATTGTAGATGTTCCGAAATTAAACTCATTTTAGGGTTTTATGACCAATACAAAGTAAAAAAAAAAGTCACTACATTCATTAGCAGTTCCCTGGAGGCCCTATTTATGCAGAGTTTAATGCTTTGTAGGCTCAGGCAAGTCCAAATATTTTTAACTTAATCTACTATTGCGATTTTAACAGGAATGTGCAAGCTCAGCATCACCAAATTTGAAATAAAATGACTCATGGATGCCCTTCTGTGAGGTGATATTTGGCTGTTGTTGTTTTCTAATTTAAAAATGTACTGACTCAAAGCAGTTTTCTTTAATGCATCACCACTAAATGGTCTAAATAAGACATTTACGATTTCACCAGAAGAGACATATTATTCTAAAACAATTAGCTAGATTCTTGCAGCTTGTAAGACTCTTTCTTCAAAGCACAAAAAGCTGAATTTACCTTTTCAGGACTGAAAGGTAAAACATAGTAACTCTCAAAATAGCAGCAGCTCTGGTAGATAAGAACTAATGCTGACTTATGATTGAGGAAAATGAATGAATGAAAAAGCATTTATTAAGTGATTCTTAATACTAATTAATTGGAACAGCTAGGCGGCCTGGAAGACTCAT